CCTTTATTACGAGCGAACCCGCTCTTATTATATACATTTACATCAATATGTTTCTTATAACTCTTTTAATACTTAAAACTCTTTTAACTATTAAACGTCTTATAATACTTAAAACTCTTTTATCTCTTTTAAGTCTTTTCCCTCTTTTATCTCTTTTAAGTCTTTTCCCTCTTTTATCTCTTATAAGTATTAAAACTCTTATAACTCTTTTAATACTTATAAGACTTTTAACTCTTTTATCCCCGGAAAACCCATTAAAGGCTAGAGATCTGCATACCCGCATGCAGATACTGCGGCACATTAACCTCCAACCCTCACGTGTCTCCAGAGTAACTTTTCCCGTCTCACAATATACTTTAGGGTTAGGGTGAGTCCATGGGATTTTATCTAGGCATTAGAATATACGTAAAATTTAGCAAGAAATTTTTTTTGATAATACACCGAAGGTGGTTTCATAAGCGAATTTTTGAGATATGAGCATTTTTTTTAAAAAAAAATTGATTTACACGTTACACCTGTTCCTACAAATTTATTAGCTAATTTCATACTGATGATAATCACCAGTGGCGATAAATAGCAAACTCCTTAAAATTAATAATGATTATATTTCATATCTGATTATCAATTTTTGAAGTGTTATGTAGATAATATTTGATTTTCATTATACGTACAATACAGAAAAATCTGCATTATTAAATAGACTCTTTGTTATCGTTATTTACCATTAAATTTTTAATACATTCACAAGTATAGGTTACATTAACTGATAATCGAGATAATCTTCAAATGGTGAATACATTTTCGTCAAATAGTTATTCCACTCCAATAAAAAGAATACGTAGAAGCGAATTATACGTATTTAGCATTAAATAATGTACAACAACGTTTTAGTAACTAACAAATTAAAATTACTTATCATTATTATATTATTATTATTTTACTATTCTTAGATACTATTCTTATATTCTTATACTGTTCTTATATATTTTTATACTATTAGTTATACTATTACTTATCCCTCAACGTCAACGATTCTATAAAATACTCGCTTCAATGATTCAAATACAATTCAAGTAAAGACAAGATAAAATTAATCAACTTTTCTTGATTTAATGACTCTAAATACTTCCATTTCTTCTATCAAGAATCTATCCTTTGTGAATCTTATCTGAGTATCATAACAATGTTGCCTACAAAATCCTTCTTTTGGATTTTCTATGCAAGAAAATTCTAAATCACCTTTACCAAAACTTGGTCCGAATTTTACGCCGTCATAGATCGCGAATTCCTTACATTCTGCTTTAACCCTACTAACTCTAGCTACCGTTGTTCTATCAGCATCAAGAAGATCATCAAAGCTAAAAATGAAGCTATCCTCTGTTTCTATATATTTATCTTCACTGCTCCATCCAATTGGATTATAACCTCCTATTATTTCTCTAATATTTGACGTTGTTTTAAATAAAACAATCTTTGGTCCTTTGCCATCACATTTATTGTGAAAACATTCAAAAGAATGTGAGGATTTACTTGCTCTGTATAATAGATGAAATTTTATATTACCAAATTGAATTCTGCCATTAACATAATTTCCTTCCATAGGATCTATCCAATTTGCAATCATGGCTGCTTCTTTTGGTCCGACTATCATGGAACTAAAAGTTATAAAGTTAGCTTATCATTTTAATATTGATATTATTTTTTTTTATTTTTTTAGTTTTTTTGTTA